GGCGTGAAAAGGTGTCAAAGGTATGGTTAGATAGGTGCGCCAAGTAATGGGCGATTCTAAGGAGTAGCGTTGCTGATGTGTAGACCTTCCTGCCTAGAAGGTCTAGTCTCTTTATGTCCTTGTCGGAACCCTGTTATTTGAGGTGTAGGTCTCTAGCCCTCTGTTGGGTTGTGTCGACAACTAAAGAATTAGGTTGCGGATGGGCAAAGAGGAATTCCATGCCCTTTGGGGGCACAAAATATTTCCGGTCGGCCCATTTGTTAGTTGGAAGAGCCAATGCCGGAGCATGCCATATTTCATCAGCAATTTCCAGGATGCCCTCATCAAAGGGAATGGCCAGGCACGACCTGTTTTGTGGCTGGAGGTTTCTGAAAAGCTTGTGTTGCTTGTCCTTGAGTTCCTGCAACGGTATCTCCTGCATGATTGCTACTCATTTAAACAACTCCTGAAATTGACGGAGGTCATCCGGTGGAGAGCCCTCACCTGGCATGACTGCCTCGTCTGGTGGGTACAAGTCTGGTATAGAGGTCCCTGCTGGCTGGCCCGCGAAGGGGATGTGCACCAATTCCGATGGGGGATGATATGGTGACGCTGAATGTTGCAGAGGAGTGAGGGAAACCCGAGTTGGAGAGTGCCTGGGTGAGACATTGTCGTAGGCGGATCGTGATTGGTAGGAATACCTGCTGCGAGAATCTCGGGAGTAGCAGTCGCTAAGGTGGTATGTACTGTGTCGCAGTGAGCGTCTGTTGTGATAGTGAGAACAAGCACGATATCGATAATGGTGTGGAGAGTAAGGTGAACAGGAGCAGATGTCTGATGCCCTGGAAGAAGCAGGAGACGCAGAGAGCTCCCTGAAGTGACATCTCTGGTGAGAGGGTCCAGGAGCCAAGAATGGGGATGGCAGTCTGGAAGAGGCATGGGGAGAAGAGAAGGAAGCAAGAGCAGCTCCGGTGCGGAGAGACCAGAGGAGAGGGACTCAGAGCTCCTGGTTTTGAGGCGTGTGCTGAAGCACTAGCCGGCACTGTGCTGCTCGGTGCTGGTGGCTCAGAGACCGCAGCGATCGGTGCTGTGCCGGTGGTAAGTCGGGTCAGCACTGTACGCTCCAGCACCACACAGTGGCTCAGGAGTGGTGTGGGTTCCAGCGCCGTAATATTTGGCTCCGAGGGAGCCCTCGCTGATGGCTCAGTGCTTGGTGCTGGCGGCAGAGAAAGAGGCTGAGGCAGCGCTGCCTGGGGTGCCACTGTTTGTACAGGCTCCCGTGGCCACTTCGGCTTGTGCGCCTTGAGGTCCCCGGTCTGTCCGCCTGACTCTCCCTGCCATGTAAGGCAGTCAGCAGTGATCTGGTAGGGGAGAGTCTAGGCTTTTTCTGAACACCCGGGCTATGTCCAGACTGGAATGATTTTCCACAAATGCTTTTAACGGAAAAGTTTTTCGTTAAAAGCATTTGTGGAAAAGAGTGTCTAGATTGGCACGGATGCTTTTCCGCAAAAGCACTTTTTGTGGAAAAGCGTCCGTGCCAATCTAGACGCGCTTTTCTGCAAAAAAGCCCCGATCGCCATTTTCGCGATTGGGGCTTTTTTGCGCAAAACAAATCTGAGCTGTCTACACTGGCCCTTTTGTGCAAAAGCTTTTGC